AGGGTTTAGGGTTTGGGGTTTAGGGTTTGGGGTTTAGGGTTTGGGGTTTAGGGTTTGGGGGCGCCGACGCAGCGTGGGGCTGGCGCTCGAGAAGCAGGCTGAAGGGCTCGCAGCAAAAGTGCTCTGCGCCCCACACTTCACGGGCTAGGGTTTAGGGTTTAGGGTTTAGGGTTTAGGGTTTAGCTCACAGCAGCTATCTTGGCCTCGAGGGCCTCTTTGTCTCCTTCGGCGGTTTTAAGGGGAGCAGCAGCAGCAGCCTCTTCAGCGATTTTGCTGCAGCCTCACAAACCCGGAATCTTTTAGCTAGCGAGCTAGCTAGCTGGCTAGCTAGCTGGCTAGCTGCTGCTGGCTACTGCTGGCCAGCTAGCTGGCTAGCTAGCTGGCTAGCTAGCTCGCTAGCTCGCAGCGTTGCCCCTCAGCTAGCTAGCCAAAAAGCAGACACAGGCAAAAGCAGCTAGCCTGAAAGAAATCCGCCAGCTAGCTAGCCAGCTAGCTAGCCAGTCCGCCAGACAGCCAGCTAGCCAGCTAGCTAGCTAGCTAGCTGGCCTGCTAGCTAGCTAGCCAGCCAGCCACTAGGTTAAGTGGTCAGCTGCGCAGCCAGCTAGCTACCTAGCTAGGAACAACATAGCCAACCAGCCAGCTAGCTACCTAGCTAGCCAGCTATCTTCCTAGCTAGCTAGCTAGCTAGCTAGCTAGCTATCTTCCCAGCTAGCTAGCCAGCTACATACCTAGCTAGCCAGCTATCTTCCTAGCTAGCTAGCTAGCTAGCCAGCCAGCTACCTTCCTAGCTAGCTAGCTAGCTAGCCAGCTAGCTGCCTTCCCAGCTAGCCGGCCAGCTAGCTCCCTAGCTAGCCAGCTATCTTCCTAGCTAGCTAGCTAGCTAGCCGGCTAGCTAGCCAGCTAGCTACTTACCGGGCCTTTTCGAGTTCCTCCTGCAGGGCCTCGACTTCAAACGACTTCGCGTCACATTCGGCTTCTTTGCGCACCAGAGTCAGCCTTGCCACTTCCCTGCACCCAAACCCTAAACCCTAAACCCTAAACCCTAAACCCTTGACCGTAGGCCCCTAGCTCTATGCCCCAAACTCCACTCTCCGGAGCCTATAACTACACAGTACAAACCTGGGCCACAAAACTGGGCAGCCAGCTAGCTAGCTAGCCAGCTAGCTAGCTAGCTAGCTGGCTAGCTAGCCAGATTGCCAGCTAGCTAGGCTAGCTAGCCAGCTAGCCGCAGCAGCAGCACAAGGACGGCGCTCGCAGTTATCACTAGCTAGCCAGGCCACCTAAACAGCTAGCCAGCTGGCTACACAGCGAGCCGGCTAGCTTCCCACTTATCTAGCTAGCTAACTAGCTAGCTAACTAGCTAGCTAGCTAACTGGTTAGCTAGCTAGCTAGCTAGCTAGCTGCTCACGCCTTCTTTTCTGCTGCCTTCACTTTGCCTTCTAATTCATCTTTCTGCAGCTGCAGCGCCTCGCCGAGGGCTCGAGCCTCTACCAGCTTCTCCTCCAAGTCTGCGCAAACCCTAAACCCTAAACCCTAAACCCTAAACCCTGAACGCTGGGCCTTTACTTCAAGGCGCGCTTCCTGCGCCTTCGCTACTCTTTAGCACGTGCCTGACGCTCCGGCCCGCAGCCTGCGAGGAAGAGGGGTTTAGGGCTTGGCGTTTGGGACCGAGGGTTTAGGGTTTAGGGTTTAGGGTTTGGGGGACCTGCGGCCTTTTCTTTGTAAAGCTCCACGGACTTCTTCAGCGCCGCAGATTCGCCAGAGTCTTCGGTGGCGTCGACGAGCTTCTCCAGGTTCGCCTGAAACCAGTCAAAGAAACAATCGCTAGCTAGCTAGCTAGCTAGCTAGCTAGCTAGCTAGCTAGCCAGCTAGCTAGCTGGATAGCTAGCTAGCTAGCTTGCTGGCTGGCTGTATCTGGCTGGATAGCTATCTGGCTGGCTATCTTGCTGGCTACCCGGCTGGCTATCTGGCTAGCTAGCTAGCTGGCCAGCTGGCTAGCTAACTGGATAGCCAGCTGCCTAGCTAGCGAGCTAGCTGGCCATAGCTGGCTAGCTAGCTAGCTAGGCGCCCATCTGCCTGGACAGCTAGCCAGCTAGCTGACTAGCCAGCCAGCTGACTAGCCAGCTAGCTAGCCAGCTCGCCAGCTAGCTAGCCAGCTAGCAAGCTAGCCAGCTAGCTAGCCAGCTAGCTAGCCAGCTAGCTAGCCAGCTAGCTAGCTAGCT